TGCAAATTAGAACTACAATAAATATCACTATGAACCTATTACAAAATCTGAAATTGGAAAGACTATATGCAGTGTTGGGGACGATGCAGAGCAACTGATAACTCTCATATACTGCTGATGGGAACATAAAATAGTACAATGTCTTTGGAAACAGTTTGGCAGTTATTTAAGAAAGACCCAGCCATTATACTCCAATGTATTTACCAAAGAAAAATGAAACCATTTCATACACAAAAATGTTCATAGTAGCTTTATTTCTAATATCTAAAAATAGAAACAACTCAAATATCCATCAAGAGGTGAATGCATAGGGGCACCCGGGTGGCTCAGTCACTTAAGGGTCTAACTCTTGACTTTGGCTCAGGTCATGATCTCATGGTTCCTGAGTTCAAGCCCTGTGTGGGGCTCCGTGCTGCTGGTGCAGAGCCTGCTTGGGACTCTCTCTCCCTCTCCCTTTTTCTCTGTACCTCCCACGCACACATACACTTTCTCTCTTTCTCTCTCTCTCTCTCAAAAGAAATAAACTTAAAAAAAAAAAGTGATGGATAAACAAATTGTGGAAACCCATACAATACTACTCAGCAAAAAAGAGAAATGAACTACTGATACAACATAACTGAAATAATTATGCAATAATTGTAAATAATTATGCTGATGAAAAAGCCAAACAAAAGAGTACATATAATTCTACTTATATGGAATTAAACTTCTAAAAAATGCAAACTCATCTATAGTGATAGAAAGTAGATTAGAGATTGCCTGAGTAATAATGGGGGAAAGATGACTACTGAAGAGTGAGTGAAAGGGAAGGATTATAATGAGACATTATAATCTTTTGGTAGCTATAGACATGTTCTTATCTTGATTGTGATGATAGTTTCACGTGGTATATAATTCAATAAGGCTGTATAAGAAAACAGTATAGTGAATACTTGTATAAGAGTGAGGGCAGTAAAGGGGGAGCACAAGAGGGATTTTTGGGGTGGTGTTAATATTCTGTTCTTTTTTTTTTTTGAGAGAGAGAGAGAGCATGTGTGAGTGTGGGAAAGGGTCAGAGAGAGAGAGAGAGAGAATATCCCAAGCAGCCTCCACACCCAACACAGAGCCTGAAGCAGGGCTTGATCCCACGACAGGATCATGACCTGAGCTGAAATCCAGAGTCAGACACTCAAATGACTAAGCCATCCAGGTTCTGTTTCTTGACCAGGGTACTGGCTATAGGGGTGTGTTCCCTGAAAATTCATGGAGCTGTGCACTTAGGATCTACACATTTTTCTGTATGCATGTTATACATCAATTTTTAAATGGCTTATTAAAAATATGATATTATTATACATTCAACAGAATGTATACTTTTTGGGGCGCCTAGGTGGCTCAGTCGGTTAAGTATCCGACTTCAGCTGAGGTCATAACTGTGCGGTTCTTGAATTTGAGCCCCACATCTGGCTCTGTGGCTCTGTGCTAACATTAAATAAACATTAAAAATTAAAAAGAATGTTACTTTTTAATTTCAGACAATACCAATTCTTGGCAAAGATGTGGAGCAACTGAAACTTTCATACATTGCTGCTAAGCATGTAAACTGGTATAATCGCTTTCGAAAACTAGCTATAACTACTTAAGTGCTAATATACATATATACCTGGTGACCCAGTATATACCTAGTTCTACACCTAGGTATACCTAACAGATATGAATCTACATATCCAACATATATGAAGCTCAAAACTTAATGCTGAATGAAAGAAATCAGAAGAGTACATAGTACATGATATTATTTAATTTAAATTCAAAAACAGTAAGAAATCCAAAGTAACAATTATTCTGATAAGAATCAGTGTACTGGTTACCACTGGAAGGTAGGAGTAATAACTGCTTCTGGGACCCTGGTAATGTTCTACATCTTAATCTGAATAGTAGTTACAAGGCTGTGTTCACTTCATAAAAATTTATCAAACAGTATACTGAATATTTATCCATCTTACTGTATATATGTAATATTTCAATTCCTAAATCTTTAAGCAACATGGGGCTTGAACTCATGACCCCGAGATCAAGGGTTGCATGCTCTACAACTAAGGTAGCCAAGTACCCCATTTCCATTTTTAAGATCTACTCCCCCAAATTTCAACTCTATACTGAGCCAGAGAAGGAAAGAAAAATAATTTAAATAGTCCAGCTGTCCTCTATGACCACACCCTATCACCAATGAGAGTTATGTCCTCAGAGAGCAAATGCAAATAATAAGCCTGACATAATCAGTGTAAACTGGCAAAATCCACAGACAGAATGTCAGTCATTTCAGGGGTTTCTCTTCTATTGACAAGAAGTAAAAACACTGTTGAGGCGACTAAAAAAAGAGTGTAGAGATAGCTTTGTCTATATCCACAAGAAATGAATTGAAAAATTAACTGGAAAAACATTGAAGAGTAAGAACTGAGAAAAATCATCTGAAATGAAAATATGACAAATAACAAGAAGAATCAGCACCCTGACTCTCCATAAATGCTCAAATGTCCCAATCAGAGAGATACCGAAACATTTTAATTTCTGAATATTATTACATGAAATTTTGAACTATATATTATTAGGTGCCATATACCATTTATACATTATTATATAGAACTGTATAAACAAAACCAGGTAAAATTTACTTAAAAGACATTTAAAGAAAATTTTCAAGAATAAATTAGACTGCTTTCTAAATGCAATTCTACTTTACTATATACATACATATATACACAAAAAGTACATACATCTACATAAAAATATCATAAATATGTTATAAACACACTTACAAACACACATAAAAACACATATGTGCCCTTAATTGAACAAAAGATAGAAATCTAAATATATCACTTAGAGTGAGAAAAATAACAAAGCCACTAAAATAGTGCTGTATTACATTGGAAAGGATAGGCCAAAAAGGAATGGCTTAGGAAGCTAATTTCTCATTTATTATAAGAAGTAATCCAGCAATAATGTCTAGAGTTGACAAATCATGAATCAGTTATAAGCACATTATTTAAAGATATGGAAATGATCACCAGGAGAACCAAAACAGTTGTCTACCTTTAATCTTTTCTCCGAGGGTGGTGATTGCAATTGGGACAAAGGACTGCTGATTTTCATACAATTTAATGTACTCTTATATTTTTAACCATGAACCTATCCTACTTATTTTATTATTAAACTTTTAAATCATGTTACAGAAAAATAGATCACACAAAAATTTTCCACTTCATATAAATTTTAAGAACAGATCATATACTTTGATCCCAGGGGAAACATATCTGTAAAGGGCATGATAACTGTCCCTATTTCACAGGTTTATTGAGAGGATTAAACCAGATAACATAATGTAAAATAATCAGCAAAGTGCCTGGCACAAGGATTCAATAAATTTTACCCATCATTACTAATACTTCCTATATAAGCACAGAATAAGGTTCAACACTAATTACTAGAACTGATGCTAATTTGTTATGTAAAACACCTGATTAATAACCACTCAATAACAACTGAATTAATGAATCTATCTAGTTTTCAAGAAACGGATAATTATCTAAGACTATCAAATAAAACACAGTTACCTTGTTAGCTACAATGAAATCAGAGTAAAAATTAAAATCAAAATCTGACAAAACACAAAAAAAATCATATCCCAATTTCACTATTTATAAGAATAACAACAGCAGCCATAAGTAGTTACCCTGTACAGCATTTCCTTCTAATGTTTTCCTGTATTTTTAAATTTTGTTTCACATACAACTTTTATAATTTTGGGAGTGGGAGGAGATCGATTTTAGAATTCTATTCCACAAAGAAAGCAATTGCTTACAAGGGCCAAAATTTCCAAATCATGTCATACTATTTTTGTACAAGGAAAGGTAATTATTATTTCTTACATATCTATAAAATGATATATCAACATAATTTTTTCTTGGCACATTTAGTTATCTGGGAGCAAATAAGATTCTAATTAAAATAAAAGAATGAAAAGGGGTGCCTGGGTGGCTCAGTCGGTTGAGCGTCTGACTTCAGCTCAGGTCATGATCTCATAGTTCATGAGTTCAAGCCCTACATTGGGCTCTGTGCTGACAGCTCGGAGCCTGGAGCCTGCTTCAAATTCTGTGTCTCCCTCTCTCTCTGCCCTTCCCCCATTCATGTGCTGTCTCTCTCAAAAATAAATAAACATTTTTTTTAATTTAAATAAATAAATAAAAGAATGAAATGCTTAAATTTCCCTAGAAATAGAACTATGTCATCCATTCAAAGTACATCATTCTCTGTCAATAGGGACCTAAATAAATGCCCGACTGAACAAAATAAACCTTCCATAAGACTGCAAAGAATGGGATATGTAAGAGAATGAATATACAGCTGACGCTTGAACAATGCAGCAATTAGGGATGCCAACCCCCAATGTAGTCAAAAATTCCCATATAACTTTTGACTCCCTAAAAATTTAACCACTAATTGCTACTATTGACCAGAAGACTTACTGATAACATAAGCAGTCAATTAGCATATATTTTATATTATATACTGTATTTTTACAATAAAGTAAGCTAGAGAAAAGAAACTGTTATTAAGAAAACTATGAGGAAGAGAACATACATTTACAGTACTGTACATATATTTATCAAAAAAAACCCCACATATTGGTGGACAATCATAGTTCAAGCCCATGTTGTTCGAGAGTCACCTATATATACTTATAAAGTATATGCATTATTATTTATATTTGTAAATACCTTACAACTGCTATAAATATTATCTTCTCTCCAAAAGTTCATAACCTTCATTGTAGTAAGGAGCAACTTAGCTCCTCATCTAGAGATTCAAATGGAGTAAAGAGAGAATCAAAGTGAGATAGTCAGAAATAAGAAGAAAAACAGGATGCCGGGATAACAAGTTTCTCTCTAATGAGTATATCTGCCTTTAAGCCAAAGAAGAGGTATACCTAGAATGGTCATCTCAGTTTCCAAGCTTACCTGTGCATACTCTCTTTCAATAGCAGCCTTCTTCTGACTGAATGTCCTAAAAACACAAATAAAAATTCATTAGCAGAAGTATAACAATAATTTTATGTAAATTTATCAACACATCCTCAGATACTACCTGGTAAAAACTGTGTTCAGGGAAAGGACAATATTTTATTCATCTTATGTTCTAGGAACACTGCTGACAAAAGGCTCTGGACTCAGAAAAACTACATTCAAATTCTGGCTCTACCACTTAGTAGCCCTATGGTCTTGGTCGAGTCACTTGACTTCTCTATGCCTCAAAATGGGGATAGTTATAACAGTACCCATGTCAAATGATAGAGTAAAATTTAGTTATTTAGAATATATTAAGTGCTTGGGGCGCCTGGGTGGCTCAGTCGGTTAAGCACCCAATTCTGGTTTTTGGCTCACAGTTCATGAGTTCAAGCCCCACATTAGGCTCTGCGTTCACAGTGCAGAGCCTACTTGGGATTCTCTCTCTCTGTATCTCTCTCTCTCTCCCCCTCTCCCTGCCCTCTCCCTCCCACTCTCTCTCTCTCAAAAATAAATTAAAATATATATATGTATATACATATATATATGTATGTATATATGTTATCTTCTCACCTATCATAAATACCCAGGCAGAAGAAACTAAAATGAACTAGCTTATACTTTCATCATTAAAAAATCTGAAAACTGGGGCACTTCGGTGGCTTAGTCGGTTAAGTGTCTGACTCTTGATTTCAGCTCAGGTCAGTAATCCCAGGGTCATGGGACTGAGCCTTGCATCAGGCTCTGCCCTGGGAGTGAGGCTCTCCCCACCTGTGCTCACTCGCTCTCAAAAAAAAAAAAAAAAAAAATCTGAAAACTTACCCATATTTTGAAGGAGGTAGTATTTTCTAATATTTCACAAAACATGAAAGCAAACATTCAAGCTATTCAGTAGTAGTATTCATTTAGCATTCAGTGTTTATTTATTTAGCTTGAAAGCCTAGATGTAACTCATCTTAAAATAAGGATGTTCAAGTGAAGTCTCCAAGAAAATGGAACTCTTATTCTGAATGTGCGTATCAATTAATTTTAAAATTCTCGGTGGATTTTTAATTGTTATGAAACAATTACATGTCTACTAAGTAATTTTGTGTTCTAAAGAAAGAAAACAAATCCAAGTTGACAACTATTCAAAATCAACATCATTAATATTAGAAACCTATTTGTTATAATTCACAGTATCAAGAGAGAACAAAAAAATCTTCTCATAATCTCCATAGAAGATGAAAAGGCATTTGTTAAAATTCAACATCAGTTTCTCATAAACATCTTTAAAAATATTAATGGATGCTATAATTAAACAGATGGACAAGAACAAGCGATGGCAAAGATGTAGAGAAATTAGAACTGGTACAATGCTGGTAGGAATATAAAATGATGCAGCTGCTTTAGAAAATCATAGTGTAGGAGTTCCTCAAAAGGTTAAACATAGAGTTACCATATTGACCCAGCAGTTCTATTCCTAGGTACATACCCAAGAAAACTTGTCTATATAAAAACTTGTAAACAAATGTTCATAGCAACATTATTCATAATAGCCAGAAAGTGGAATCAACCCAAAAGTCCATTAACTGGTGAACAGATAAATAAGATGTGCTATATCATATGATAGAATATTATTCAAAAAAGGAATGAAATATTGATACATGATACAGTATGGATGAACCTGGAAAACACTATGCTAAGAAGCCACATAAAAGGACACATATTACATGATTTCATTTATACAGAATGTCCCAGAATAGGCAAGCCTACAGAGACATAAAGTAGATTAGTGGTTGCCAAAGGTTGGAGAGTTAAGTTTGCCATATTTCAAAAGCATTTTTCTTTTACCTAAATAGGTTGATTATAAAGTTCACATGGAAAAAATGAACACTTAAGAACAGTTATTAAGATTCTGAAAAAGTATTTCAAAAGACCTACCTTCACCACATAACAAAAACTAATTTAATAAGGTGGCAATAATTAAGATAGCTTAGTAATGGAACATGAATAAACAGAAAGATAATGAAACAGAAGTCAGAAATGCACCTAAATACACAAAAATTTAGTAACTGAAAAAGAAGATATTTTGATTCAAAGGAGAAAACATGGATTACTTAGTAAATTCTACTGCGTCAACTTTACAAGAGGACGCAGTGTTAAGTAAACAGAAAAGTTACAGATTAATGTATATATAGTATACTATCTTTTTACATGAAAATGTTTACCCATATATGCTGTATTATAATTACAATACTACTCCATTAGAACACAGATAGTCCCCAACTTGCAATGGTTCGACTTACAATTTTTCGACTTTACAATGGTGCAAAAGTGATATGCATTCAGTAGAAACCGAACTTCAAATTTTAAATTTTGATCTTTTCCTGGGCCAGCACAAAACTCTCCACTGTTGTGCAAGGAAGCATCAGTGCGCCCCAGCTCCCAGTCAGCCACGCAATCACAATGGTAAACACCTTATTTATAACCAACAATTCTATACCCATACAACAATCCTGGTTTTCGCTTTCAATACAGTAGTCAATAAATTACATGAGATTGTCAACACTTTGTTATAAAATAGGCTTTGCGTTAAATGATTTTGCCCAACTGTATGCTAATCTAAGTGTTCTGAGCACGTTTAAGGTAGGCTAGGCTAAGCTATGATGTTTTGTAGGTTAGGTATACAAAATGCATTTTTGACCTAATGTCATTATTTTCAACTTTCAATGGGTTTATCAAAACATAACCCCACTGTAAGTCAAGGAAGATCTGTAGTCCCTTAAATGAAAAACTATTCTGTGGAAAAATGCCTACTGTGGTCCCCTAGGAAATCACTGTGATAGAATTCTCTGAAATATTAACAAGAAACTGGCTTGACAATGGCTCCATATGAAGAAAGGAACTGGTGTTAGAAGACCTTTTACTGCATTGTTTGTGTTATTTGAATTCATACCATGTGGATGTGTATATATTTTTGAGGTGAAATTTATATGACATACAACTAATAATTTTAAAAAATGTTTTTAACATTTATTTATTTTTGAGAGACAAAGAGACCGAGCATGAGCTGGAAAGGGGCAGAGAGAGAGAGGGAGACACAGAATCAGAAGCAGGCTCCAGGCTCCAAGCTGTCAGCACAGAGCCCGATGCAGGGCTCCAACTCACCAACCACGAGATCATAACCGAATGAGCCACCCAGGCACCCCACAATTAACCAGTTTAAAGTGTTCAGTTAAAAAAAATAAATAAATAAAAGAAAATAAAGTAAATAAAAATAAAAATTAAATACATAAATAAATAATAAAGTGTTCAGTTCAACAGCATTTCATGTGTTCACAGTATGCAACTACCACCTCTACCCACTTTCAAAACCTTTTCATTACTCCAGAACACTCCATATTCATTAAGTAATCACTCTCTCCATTCCCCCTCCTTTTATCCCTGGCAAAAAGTAATATATTTTTCTGCCTCTATTACATATTTGCCTATTCTGGAGATTTCATATAAAAGGAATCATACATGACCCTTTGTATCTGACTTCTTTCACTTAGTATGTTTCCAAGGTCCAAGTTGTAGAAGGTATCAATACTCCATTACCTTTTGTGACTGAATTATTATTCCACTCCACTGTAAAAATCCAATTATTATTATACTCCATTGTATGGATATACTACAATTTGTTTATTCATTTATCTACTGATGAATTTGGGTTGTTTCATATCTTACCTATTATAAATAATGTTGCTATAAACAACATATATAAAGAATAAATCCCTGTAATAGTTATTTCTCTAATAAAATCCAATATTCTAAATAATTTTTCTAAAACAAATCTGATCAAGCTACTCTCCTACTAATATTCCTAAAAAAGCTCATCACTCCCAGAGTAAAAATCTAAACTCCCTTAAGGTTGTATGTGACTTTATCTCTGTAAACTCCCCCATTCACATCTCAGACCCCAGCTAAAGTTCTTAAAAGGACCAGTAGGCTCATGCTCATAGTCTAGCAAATGTACTCCTTTTTACTTGGAATTCCCTTTCCCCATTATTTGGCTTAATTCTTCCTCATCCTTCAAAACTTAGCTTAAGCATAACCTCTAAAAAGTCTTCCTGAATTCCACTTGTGATTTGGATACCCTTTCTCTAAGGTCCTCCAGCATGTTGTAACAAAGCACCTGCTTCAAGTATTTTAATTGTGAATTGACTAGAGTTCCCTGAGAGCAAGGAGTGTGTTTTGTATTTATATGTGTAGCACAGTGCCTGAAAGCTAAAGAAGTTTATTCAGTAAATGTTTGCTGAATGAATGGATAGAAACTAAATAATCAGGTTTCAGGCTCTTCATGAGTATGAATTAAATAGCTCAGTAGAACCAAGATCACAATCTATATCCATATGGACCAGTTAAGTTTCTCAACCTTGGACAGACTGTATCAGAAAACCTAACTATTTTGTGTACATGAGCTTTAAAAAACAAGGAGGGTATATGAATGTGCAGTAAAGGATTAACCTTGCCCCAAGAGAGGTCTGGCCTTTGCCCTTGACTTCTGGGGAATGATCTCTAAACCTATGGAATGTCATGTCTGATAACAGTGTTTTTGTTTACCTGGGGACCTTAGGCCATGCATAGTCTATGATAGCAATGTGATTTATTGAGAGTGGTGTGGAGGAAAGGGGGGGTTCCTAACACATGGTTATCAGTTCAACCTCTGAAGAAGCTGGAAACTAATAAGGTCAGCCACATGGGCAGTTAATCATATCATGGTGACCAAATACACCTCTTCTCTTGGCTGATTATAAGGTAATATCCTTTCACTATAAAACACACACACACACACACACACACACACACACACACACACACACACTTCAGTAAACTTTCAATGAATTCTGTGAGTCCTTCTATTGAATTATCAAATCTAAGGGTGGTCCTGGGGCTCCCTGATCTTGCAAATCATGTCAGAAGTGAGGGTAACCTTTGAGACCTCCAAACTTGCGGTTGGTGTCAAAAGTGAGAGTT